CCCCCCCCCCCCCCCCTTCGTCACCCGCTCCTTTTCCTTCCCCTCTACCTTTTTTTGTATTCATATTTCCGTCAGACCTCGCCGTCTTGAAGGCATTTGTCCTGTCTCCCCCCCGCCATCAAGCACCCATCAGAGCAAAGAAGGGAATCATTTCACAATCACACCTTGTATTCCCACTTTGTCAGCCTTTTTACCCCTCCAATCCTGCTTCCCCTCCACCAAAAAGACAGCACCCTGCTTGGCTGTGCACACAAGTACATGCCGGGTTGTGTGTAAGTCTCGGCTCAGTGCCGCGCCAAAAATAAAAAAAAAGAGGCCTGCTCCCCACAAAAGACGCACTGCCTGGCCCTCACCGCTTGTGCGCCACGAGCAACACCACTAACATCGCCCTCAAGGCAGACAGGATATAGCATCTCTCGCACGCACACAAGCCTCGCTTTCGGCACAATTCACAGAACGTGCCATTCTTTTCTCTCGCTCAAATCTTTTTTCCCACCCACCCACCACACCACCCACAACCAGAGACCGCCAAAATGGTCTCAGCATTTCAGATGCAGCAATACTACAGGCCAACGGCCTTGAGTGTGGACACGCAGAAGTTCTTCGACGAGGAGGACGACAGCGTTCTTGACGAGGGTATCCTGGAGCAGAGCGGCCTTGAGCAGGGACTGGAAATGTCCCCCAACATGGTCGACAGCCGCCGGGAGTCCTTCGCCATGGGCGCTTCATTATTCTCGCCGAGGCACGATGACTGGTCCGCATCGGTGGAGATGCAGTCGGTGCCGTCCAACAACCCCTTCCTGGACCAGACACCAAACACCACGAGCAACAACCCCTTCATGCGCATGGACCAGAACCAGCACCAGCAGGCTCATGGCTTTGTGCCACAACAGACGTGGACCAGCACCGCCGCCTCGGCGGGCGCTGTTGCGGCTTTTGACGGCCTGCCGGTCGAGTTCGACTCCACCAGCGCCTCCCTCTACCGCACCCCCATCCCCTTCAGCAACCCGGCCAACAACGTGACCATGTTCTCGTCCGTTCCCAGCCAGGCCTCGCTGCCGACGTCCCCGCAGAAGGAGCATTGGTCCGGCAACATGGCTATGAACAAGAAGGTCAGGCCCGGTAGCCCCGGTCTCCGCTCGCACAACGAGCTGCGCAAGGGGGACGGCATCCGCAAGAAGAACGCGCGCTTCGACATCCCTGCCGAGCGCAACCTGGCCAACATTGACCAGCTCATCGCCCAATCGACCGACGAACAGGAGACCAAGGAGCTGAAGCAGCAGAAGAGACTTTTGAGGAACAGGCAGGCTGCGTAAGTGTCACGAATTCCTCCCTCTCTAACCCGGCGACAGCTCGAGACTCGCATCGCTAACATGCATCATTGACTTGGGCGACAGCCTCGACTCGAGGCAGCGCAAGAAGCAACACACGGAGCGCCTTGAGGATGAGAAGAAGCACTACACTTCTCACATCTCTACCCTGGAGGAGGAGCTTGAGGATATGCGGCTTCAGATGTCTCACCTCATGGAGGAGAGGGCCCAGCTCGTCAACCGCATCCAGATCCACGAGTTCGACAAGGAGGAGCTGGTCCGCCGCCACACCGAGGAGACGGCCGATCTCCGCAGGAAGCTCAAGGTCCTGACGACGCACATCGAGAGCACCGAGGGCACCGACGTCTCTGGCGCCTCGGGCCTGCCGGTCATGCCCGGCGCCAACGCCGGTGGCTTCTCGGGCTCGTTCGGCCCCGACATGGGCATCTCGGTCGATGGCTCCTGGGACGGCATGGGCTACATGCCCGACTTTGGCGCCGCCATGGACCCTGCCGCCAGCGTGCCTGATATCAAGCAGGAGCTGCCGCAGCACAAGATGCAGGTGGTGGTTGCCAACAAGAAGCACGACGCCGCCGTTGAGAGCGAGAAGCCGTCGACCCAGGGCGGCCTGCTCTTCATGCTCTTCCTCGTCGGCGCGCTCGTCTGCTCGAGCCGCTCGTCGGTGCCCAGCATCCCCCGCGTGTCGGAGGACGTGCGCGCCGCCTCGGAGTCGATCCTCCAGAATGTCATCAAGGACGCCGGCGTCGCCGAGCCCGCCGCCGCCACCGGCTTCGCTCTCCGGGGCGCCGCCGCCCCCTCGGGCACCATCAACTGGCCGGCTCCCTCGCCCATGGCTTCGGCTCCTGCCGCCACTGGCCTCGACGGTGTTGCCCCCAGCATGCTGGGCGACCTCACGGACCTGCTCACGCGGCCGACGGCCGAGCAGTCAAAGGAGGAGGCCTTTGGCATGACGGCGTCGCAGTACAGCTCCATGATGATGTCGGACGAGTTCCTGCAGGCCGGCCCCTCGTCGGGTGGTGGCGAAAGGTCCACCAGCCAGGGTCGCCGCAACCTGGCCGAGGCCATGGCCTCGGTGAGGCAGGGCAGCAAGGCCGAGGTCTACACCAGGTCGCTCCTGTGGGACCAGATCCCTAGTGACGTGGTCAGGACCTTTGTCAAGATGGTTGCCGAGTGCAATCAGAACCAGGGCGACGGCATCAGCGCATGAGCACTGTTCGACTCTTTCCTACCCATTCCTCGCGTCTCCTTTCGCATCCGTTTGATTTTGACACACACGATCAACGACCCCGACCCACGACCAACTATGATCACGACGCCAACGAAGCGTGCCGAGCAATTGTTGTTTTTTTCGCGCTGCCTTTTTTTTTTTTTCGCCTGCTCTTATCTTTTGCTGTTTTCCTTGCGCGCATTCTCCTTTCCAATATGGTTTCCTCCTTCAATTTCGCGCCTTACCTTCTTGCACCGGAGGATCTCTCCTCCGGGGCCCTCTTTCTTTGCACATATATTATTTCTGCCACTCACGTGCATACAACCGTTGTTGCTTTTTTCCTCTCTTCTTTTTTTTTTTTTTTTTTTTTTGCATCCAGTCGCAATTCGGCGCTTCCCCGCGTTCGAAATGAAACCAACAGAGACAAATTTGGTGAAGATGCTCACGCATCCAAACAGTGTGTCAAAATCAGCGGCTCTTTTCCCTCCTCTCCCCTTCTCCCCCTTTTCCTTATTTCCTCGCGGAACAAAAATTTTCGTCCTTCCGGTTTCCTTTTTTCTGTATTTCATTGTGCTTTGTTTGATTTTCAAGTTTTGCTCCTTTCCTCTCCTTGGACATCATCGGAATGGGTTTTGGCTTTTTTTTTCCTCCCGGGCAGCAAGCGAGCAAAGCGTTTTGAATTTGGTGATTTTTATCTCCTTGATTTTTCCCTATCTTTTCCTTACTTGTCGTCATCGTTTGGTTGCGTGCTTTTGCTTTTCCTATTGGGCTCTCTGGTTTTTCAAGCTATTTCCTTTTTTCCTAGTCCTATTTCCTATTCCTTATTCCCTTGCTTAATTCGTGGCAATTATCTTGTCACGACAAGCCTGGAGGGGACATTGGCGGGAAACCGCCAGATTCCCGGCATCAATGTTAGTGCTGAAAGGACGGATGGGGGCAGGTTGGGGGTGTTTGGGGATATTGGTTTGGCGGGATGGGACGGTGCACGGTTGTGAAAAGGGGGCCTGGAACAAGGCTGGGGATTCGGAAGAGGGACTAAACGCGCCCTCGGCTCACGCTCACTTTTCTTTTCCTTTGTCCGACACGAGGAGCGAGTCACCAACAGCCTTTTCCTACGGGAGAGGCCGAGGAGGGTGATCTCAGACGGTGGGTTTGTGCAAGCACAGCCTACGCTTTTGTCTCAACGACAACCTTTTCTTTTTCTCTATCAAGATTTCCAACCCTAGTCTAGATCCAGAGTTCCTCTCATATGTCACACCAATTCGACGAAAGAGTTGCCATACAAACAAGTCCGATTGAAACAAGACAGTTGGCTGATTCTTGGGCACTGCATTATCACTTGCTACCCAGTCACCTGCTCTATTGTGATGTTTCATAACTTGGCTTTTTGCCAATAACAAAAAAAGGTGTGTGTGTATGGTAATGGTGTGCGTCGTGATGGTGATCGAGGTCGAGGACTGTAGAGGCCCGACGAGGGCATCATCAGTCATCAAGACATAAGCACGTAGCCGAGGAGGGGGTGGGACGGATGGAGTGAAGGATGCCCGACGGCTTGGGCTCGCTCTACCGTCATATGAAGACATTTTCCGGGCATGCGCCCATGGGTTTCCCGAGAGGTAGGTAGGTCGGTAGGTAGGTCGGAAGGTAGGTACCTAGGTAAGACAGGCAAGGTACCGTTCCAGACAAGCTTGGGTATTCCTCCGCGAGACAATGGCGATGATGGTGGGTGGCGGTGTCATCCCCTCACTCGGACAGCCCTGCTAGCGGGCGTTCTGCAATGTTTCAAACCTAGCGTGGCTATCTATCTAGGGAAGGGGAGGGGGGAAGCAAAGACGCCGGTGTCGTCACCGCGTATGCTTGCTGCCCGTGGGTAGGTAGGTAGGTAGGTAGGTAGGTAGGCAGGCAGGCAGGTACTGTCTCAGACAATCAACATGGTTGGTGGGGGGGAAGGACGGAATGGGTGGATGGGGCAGGGAAAGTTGTCCAGCTGCCACACTACCACAGCCGTGCGGTCTCGGACCTGCTGGATTGAGTTTGGCTTGAGTGTCGGTTGCCTTGGAACTTTTGGATGCCACCACCACTACACTTTTTTGTTTGGGCTTTGGTGGGTGTAACTCAGGCCGGCCCATGATGTCGGTATATCTTGTGGTCCTGCCTGCCTGCTCGCACGGGACCAGCTTCGACGATGGTTCACTGTACAATTTTGTGGATAGCGCTTTTTTTTCTCTCTTTTTTTCTCTCTTTTTTTCTCTCTTTTTTTCTCTCTTTTTTTCTCTCTTTTTTTCTCTCTTTTTTTTTGTATGGCGGGACGGGCGGGCGGCGGAGAAATAGGGGGATCCAGTCACATAGGTTGGTTCGGAAATCTTGGCCATGCACGCGATGAGGGAAAAAAAAAAATTGGCTGGGTCGGGCTGGGCTGTGTTGTGCGCCGCGCATTGCGTCGCCGTCCATGGGGGAGGGAACGAACCGGAGAAGAAGAAGCAAGTGCTCGAGGCTGCCTGACGGGCGAGTGGTAGGTATCAGTGCATATCCCAAGGCTTACAGAGGGCAATCCAATCAGGTTGGAATGATTGGGTGGAGTGAGGTGAGATTTCAGATTTCTTCCCTCCCCCCGGGGCTCACCATTCCGGTGATATACAGAGAAAGAAAGAACTTGGACTAATGCCGGCGACGAGGGCCAAATAAAAGAGCCGAGTTTGCTTCCAAAGATTCGTCTCCACAAAAAGACATCCACGTCGGACCGAAGACGCCGCCCCGGCGCAGCCCGCCTGCTTCAGCTGACCAGGATCGACATGCGCGGATGATTTTCCTGACAGAAACTGGGTGTAACAGAAACAGAAAGTGAGCAAGGAAGGAAAAAAAAAAAAAAGTCCCGGTAAGAACCTTAACAGACTACTGTATAGCTATAGGTAAGTAAGCTCCCACAGGGGGGAGACCTGCGGGTTATAGCCTACCTACCCAACGTACAGAGTTGTGGCTGGCGGCGTCCCGGGCCTGCCCACCCCACGCGCCCGCGCATGCAGCTGAGCGGCGAGGGGAGGGCAGCAAGCAAGCAGAGTGGGAACTGCCGACGGAGCGGTCGTTGCTCTATGGTGTCTCACCTTGTGGTCTCGTTCTCACCTCATACTTCCACCCTCCTTGCGCATGGCGCCCCTCGGCACCTGGACGCTGCTACCACTGCTTTTTTTTTTCTTTTCTTTCTTTTGCGCCAAGGAGCAGGACCGTCGGGATCAAAAGCGCGGCGGGCTGCGATGAGAAAGGGAACAAGGAAATGACCAGGCATCCGCCGGCCGCCGACACAGGACCCTTGCATATGTTGCAAAAATGGACCAAGGATTCCATTAACAAATTTATTTTATTTACCAGCCTCGCTGCGCCAGCCGGACGGAACAAACGTTATACCCGGGACATCTGAACCAAGTGACGATGCGCACACGCCTGCTTTTCTCTGCTCTGCTCTGCTCTGCTCTGCTCTGCTCTGCTCTGCTCTCAATTCGACTCTGGCCCGATCCACAGTAGACCGCACAAAGGCAATAACAAACGACTGTTCATTTTTTTTTTTGGTTGACCGCCCTTCCATCATGTCACCCGTTGGTTCCGTTCCTCCCCGAGGGGGACCGTTTTGGCCGGTTTCAATCGTCGATGAATGAGTGAATGACCCGTCCTCGTCGCTCCCCCGCGGACATTTGTCTTCTGACCGAGTGGGGGGAGTGTGCGCAGCCACGCCTGCGCCAGCGGAAAGGGGACGCGTCCCCGGGAACAGGTGGCAAACAAAGGGACTAAAATCCAAGAAAGAAGATAACCCTAAAACCAACAGGATGCAAAGAAAAAAAAAGGAAAATAAACAAACAAAAGAAGCAATCGCCAAACGGCCATTCGCCTCAGGGTCCAGACCGGACAAGCCAAGAAAGAGGGCAAGTCCAGACGGTGGCAAACACGAGATCTCTCCCAAAGCGGCAAAAAAAAGAGAGGTCCGTCCTTCCCCCCTAATGCAAGCCGGAGTGGATGGCTGCCAGACAAGAGATGCTGTTGGTGGGGGATTGGGGAGGGCCCGGAATACGGGGAGGGGAAGGGAGTGGAGGGGAGATCAGCAGCAGCCCCCAAGTACCTCGCCGTCCCTCGAGGAAAGAGGGTACGGTAGGATTGGCGTCCCCCATTGGGCGCACAACGAAGCCTCGATAGTTGCATACCCATAACAAAGCTCGACCGGTGTGTGATCTCCCGCGGGCGTGCGTGTGCTTGTGTGTACCCGTGGTACTGTACGTATACTCTTGTCACTTCTTCCCGCCCTTGCCGGGGTCGTACTTGTCCTTCCAGATCCTGTCCGTGCCGAAGCAAGAAAAGAAAACAACAACAAAAGGGTCAGCATTTCCGAGGAACACATTTCAGTGCGTCTCTCTGTCTCTCTCTCCTAACCCATCTCCGCGCGTTGGGCAACAAGGAGAGAAAAAAATAAAAAAATAGCATGAAGCATGCAGCATGCACTCTCCCATTATCGACTGTCCTCCAAGCAATTCCGGCTTGAGCTGGCGAGGGGGGAATGCGTAAACAACAGAACAAAAAAGGCAAGAAGGGGACAAGGGAGAAAAAAAGCAAAGACAAAATGGTAGCATCCGCGCAACTGCGCGACGCCGAGGGGCAGTCAAGTGTCTCCGGCAGGGGCCTGCGGGCTCCAACTGGCCCGAGGCCGACAACATGGTCAGAGGCTGGTCAGAGGTGGTGGCGAGCGCGCTCGCTTGAGGCACAGTAGCGTGGGCAGCAATCCCGCATTATGCAGCCGTTGGCATAGCATGGCATGGCATGGCATGGCATTGCAGATGGCATGGGCGGCGGGCGGCGGGCGGCGGCGGCGCCATGAGGGGAGAGGGGCGTGTGCGTCTTTCTCTCGAGGGGTGGTGGACGAGGAGGAAGAGGAAGCGAGGGAAAAAGGGGACGATGATGATGGGCATCCTTTCCGACAGAAGCATTCTCGTCCAGCCAAAGAAAAGCAGGGCGGACGGGAAAGCAACTGGCTGGGAGAGAGGGAAAAGAAAAACAAGAATGGATGATGCGCCGATGCATGACCAGGAGGGCCGCAAACATTGGCCCGCCAGAGCTGCAGGCAGCCGAAGGGGAGGGTCGCCGACAGCGGCTTCTCGTTTGTTTTGTTTTGTCGCGCGGGCCTATCAAGCCGACGAGGTGCATGTCATCTGCGACGGAGCAGCCGCACACCATGCACGCTTGTCAAGAAGGTGATGCGGGTCTGGGATGGGCTGGCAGGTGGGTGTGGCCTCTCAAGATGGCCGCGCGGGGAAGGGAGAGCTGCTACTGCTGCTGCCACTGGTGCCGCCTGCACATGGGGGAGAAACACAGGACGCGTGTGGTGGGTAGTGGAAAAAAACAAACAACAGGTAGTCGAGGTACTTTGGGATGGAAGGGGAAGGGAATGCACCTTCAATCCTTTTTGGTGATGGCCTCGGGCTTTGGAGGGGAAAAAAGGGGGCTTGCAGGAAAACAAAACAAAACATCTCAACACAATGAGCGAGTAACAAAAAAGAAAAAGAAAAAAAGAGATACGTACCACGAGTTCCCCAGCGTCTTGTGTCCGTTTTTCTCGGCGAGGCGGTAGTACTTTGCGGACGCGAACTATTTTTGCACAAAAGGAAGACACCAAAAAAATTAGCTTTGGGCAGAGCCAATCCTCATGTGATGTCGAAAGACTGCGTGGGGAGGGCTCCGATTTGCCCACGGCCGAGCGAGGGTGGTGCGGCGCGTTGCTGCCCAACCCATAGGAAGAGGGAGAGCGAGAGAGAGAGAGATGGGCCACGACCGGTCGAGCTAGGCAAGGTACCATGCGTGCGTCGTCCCCTTCCCCCCTCGGGGCTGGGCTGGGCTGCACGATGCACACTGCCCTGGGCTCGGGCTGCTTGCTGCTGCTTTGCTTTGCTTTGCTTTGCTTTGCTTTGCTTTCCTGCAGTGGGTTAGGGGATGGGCCTGCCAATGGGTCCGCCCACGCGCAGACAGAGAACCACGCACGCATAACGCAAGGTGACACGGCGACGACGCTCGCGGCAGGCATCGTGTTTGATGACACGGGGAAAACGGGGCGGCGGCGTCGTCGGTCGGCCGTGATGGACCGGGAGGGGCGCAATTCTGTGACGCCATGTGCAGGAGCAGTAGCAGCAGGAGCAGCAGCAGCAGCAGTAACAACAACAACAACAGCAGTGGCAGCAGCAGCAACATCCCTGTTTCTCTTCTTACCTTGTCCTTCTTGCAGCCAAACCCCTCCAGGTAGCACCATGCCACCTCGTTCATGGCGTCTTGGCAGCGTGTGAGAAGGAGACACATCTGTCAGCTTTTTTTTTTCAGCTCCGCCCGTGGGCCATCCATGCCAAGCAAGCAAGCAAGCAAGCAAGCCGAGCCCAGGCCGCCGGGGATCGGGCTCGGGATTGGGGAAGTCGACAGCCTCGCCCGGGGGGGCCGGGGTCTCGGCCCCGAGCCCGGCTAGCCACATACCTGTGTCGCCAAGGTTTGCCGCCGTTTCGTAGTACTGTTTGTGTGAGCTGGTCAGCAGCTAGTCCGGGAGACAAGGAAGCGTCGAACCGGGGAGGGCCGGCCGGTGGTGCGCTATTCTTCTGCTGGCTTCTGCTGGCCCCATGCTTCCGTGACGGGATACCCTCTGCGGTCTGGTCGCCGATGATAACAACAACAAAGCTCGCCCTCGATAAAAAGGAGGCGCGTATGAGAAAAACAAAACAAACAAAGAAACAAAACAAACAAAAGAAAACGGAGCTCTCTCTCTCTCACCTGCTTGGCCGCCACCGCGTCCTTGGGCACGCCCCATCCATGGCGGAAGCAATTGGCCAGCTCAAAGATGGCCAGCACCAGCTCGCCCTTTGCGGCGCCGCCCTTCTTCATGCCCGCCTGCAGCGCCAGCGTCTCGACCGTCGCGGCGTTGGCCGCCGCTTTGGAGAGGTAGTGGACCGCCCCGGCCTGGTCGGGCTCGCAGCCCCAGCCGTGTCTGTTTTTTTTTGAAGTCGGAGTGAAAAAAAAAAAAAAAAACGGAACAAGACAAAGAGACAGGGGGACACAGTAGTTTACCGTAGCGCAAGGCCGTACAGCACCTGGCTGAGCGGGTTGTTGGCCCCCTGCGGGTCGGCGAGCCGGCCGAACAGCACCGTCGACCGCTCCAGGTCCCCGGCCTCGTGCAGCCGGATGGCTTCTTGGATGTCGTCATCGATGGCCTTTGTCGACACGGCGCTGGCGCTCCTCTTCCTCCCACCGCTGCCGCCAGCCGCGCCGCCGCCGCCGTCCCCTATTTCCATGCTCCCCAGCCCGCCCGCCAGGTCGCCGCCGCCGCCGCCGTCGGGCGAGCCGGGCCGGCTGCGCACGCGCTCGTTCTCGCGCGCCAGCAGCGTCGCGCGCTGCTCCCACTGCGCCTCGTTGCCGTCCCCGTCCCCGTCCCCGTCCCCGCTACCAACCGCCGGCGCGACCACGATCTCGGGCAGGTCCTGCGGCACGTTCTCGCTCGACGTGCCACCACTGCTCCGAGTCAGGTGGAGCTTCTGCGACAGCCGCCGCAGGCCCTTTTCCTTCTTCTCCTCCCCGGAGCCCAGGTGGCCCGTCGTTGTCGTCGTCGTCGACTGGTCACGCTTCCGTGACGACGATGACGACGATCCGCCAAAGAAGCTCCGCCGCCCGCTACCACCACCTTCGCCGCCGCTGATGCTGCCGCTGTCGCCGCCGGGCGCGGTTACCTTGGGCGTCACGGGGGCGCTGGGCGGGTGGATCACCTCGGCGCTGTGCGTGTCGGACCGGATGAACTTGAAGTCGGGCGGCCGCGCCAGGTGGTCGTCGTCGCCGCCTGCCGCCCCCTGGTGCTGCTGCTGCTGCTTCTCGGCCGGCCCGCCGCCCTCGTCGCCATCCTTGTCCTTCTTCTTGAGGAGGTCGCGCAGCCCCATTTTATCCGCCCCCTTTCCCGTTTCTAGTTGTCGTTTGTTGCTTGGCGCGTGCGCTTCTTTTCTTTTCCCCCCCACGACGTAGGCCTGCTCCGAGCCTGTCTAGGGATGATCTGTCTAGATCTAGAATCTCGACTTTGTGGGAAACCGGACAACCTCTTATGGTGGTGAGCCCGTGTTTGATGGTCCTGACGTCGCAAACTCCAACGCGACTTGCCTCGACTCGATTGCGGCTGCGGCTGAATTTGCGGGGTTGTGTAGTGAGTGGCTGGCAAATGAAGAAAGCCAAAAGCGAGAAAGAGCGAGCAGTTGTTGGCGGCCTTTTTGTCCAAAGAAAAGTGACAAAGAAGTTGCAACTCTGTCCGGCGCCAACGTCGCCTCGACCTTGACACGACATGAGGTGACGGCCAGCCGCGCTGGCTTTGGGATTACGTAGCGTCGCATTGAAAACAAGGGCCCCCCATCCCGCACCTTCAGCTGCTGGTTGGTGTGCCGGGGGCGCCCTCGTTAGCAGGGTGCCAGGCTAGCCGCCGGCATATTGATCCAAGTGGAGGCTGAGTTAAGGCGGTGCACCCCCAGCGCCAGCCCGGCGTCGACCATCTCTCCCGGCGCCGACCCTGCGTGCTGCCATGGATGGACCAGTCGAGAGGCACCAGTCGAGACCCTGCAATCCACTTGCAGTCTGCCGCCTGCTGCTGCGCATCACCCCATGTCGTGCATCCTGCAAATATCACCAAGCACACGTCATTGTATTTCTTTCCAATTTTATCCCTCTTTTCTTTTTCTGCTCTATCAAATGCTATCGTGCTGTCCCCAACCCAACGCCAGCTGTCTTGTCCAGTTAAAACCAACAAAATGCTCAAGACACGAGTCTCGGCTTGCTCCTGCTTCCCAAACCTGCCCACGTCATGATGGGACCCGCCTGCCGAACACGGGGCATAGAGAGAGCCAGCATCCGACGGACCGGACACCGAAAGACCGCGGCGGTTGGGAAGAATAGCCAACGATGCAAAAAAAGGAGACGTAGCTGGTTGGAGCCATCAGTGGAGCCACCAGTTGCAGCAAACAACGCTTAGAGCTGGATGTACTCCTGGTTGGGATCGAAAACTTGTTCAGAAGCATCGTCCCCTAAAAACTCGTCCACAGCATCCGAGTCGACATCGTTGCTATCAACCGACTCGCCGTCCTCGTCGCTTGATATGTCCGCCATGTCCACGTCGTTGTCGCCTGCTGTCGCTCCCGCCTTGCGAAGGACGCTTGCCCTCTCCCGATGCGGGAGCTTACAGCCCTTTGTCTTACAGACACCTGTGTTGCTGAAGTCGGGACATTCGAACACGTGGCGTTCGTCACAGTTGGCGCCTTTGCTGCAGTATCCGAGCATACCAAAGTCTCGGCACACCGGCGCTCCTGGAGTCACTTGCATGTGAGCATACCGGCAGTCGGGGTTTGTGCACTTGCCCTTGGCGTAATGAACGCATGCCGGCGTCCGCTCATCCGTCAACTCGTGGGAAAGGTCGCACGAGCCGCCACTGACACAGTCGCCCGTGACGAGAAAGTCTCTGCATATCGCCACCTTGGCTGGGTCGTGTATGTAGCGGCAACGAGGGCCATTTGTGCATGATCCTAAAAGAGAAGACGAGAAAACGAGGAAAACGAAGGACAAGATAGCTGTGGTTAGTGCGGTTACCCATCAAGGAGCCAAGGAGCGGCTGCGCCTGCACTCGGTGCGCTCGCTTAGGAACAAGCCGTGCGTCGCTGCAAGAGGAAGGCGCCGAGGTGCTCCGCCCGCTAGCAAGGGGGTAAAGCCAAAAAGAACTGGGGATGGAGATGAAAGATACCAGTCATGGAGAACATCCGGCATGGCGTGTCCACCTTGCGGACCGTTCCGGATCGCCTAGACAGATTCTCGGTAAGCGTTCCGGCCACATGGGATCGGGAGCCATACCGCTGGGCTTTGACGATGCCATGTCTATACAGATTGCCGTTACGACTGCGGTAGAACTTGACTCCGCCCACGACGGCCATCTTGGGGGTGGCTTTGGGCGCGTTGTTGTCTGAACAGGCGTCATGTTAGCCTTGCCTTATGGACGAATAGACAATGAGAACCCGGCAGAAAGGCAGAAAGACGTGCCGATAATCTTGACGAGTTTACTCCCGTTCTTGGCCACGTTGAACCGGATTCCGTCAACAACGACCTCGTACTGCGCGTTCGGGCGCGTGTTAGCATAGCCTACGGGGGTAGCCGGCGTGACACCCCCGCCGAGGTGGGCCAACAGCTTGGAGCGCTCGCGATCGTCCACGGCCCGCTCCTTCTGGCGCGTCGACTCGGCCATGGCCTTGGTCCGGGCCTGGGCCTCCTTCTCGTACACGGCGGGGTTGATCAGCTGCAAGTGCCGGTCCTTCTTCGTAACCCAGGAAGAGGTGGACGCGTCCGAGTTGGCGCCCGAGTCGGGGTCGTGCTTGGTGCTGCCGCCGGGCTGGACGGCGCCGTTGTGGTTTGCTGTGTTGTTGAGGACAAGAGACCGATGGCGATGCGGGGCAACCTTGGCTCCACGACCGCCTCGTGCCTGATACCCCCCGGCGCCGCGACCCCACGAGGAGTATGCATTGGTCGGGGCTTGTGGCCGGTTAGAGTCTCGTCCTGGACAGGCGCATCGCGAGGACATACAGTGGTAAGGGTGGTAGTGATGGGCTGGGCTGGTGGCCACGCCGGCCTGTTGGTTCTTGTGACGGTTGATCTGTCCTATCAAGGTGAAGGCGCAAATGAGCGCACATGGGTCAGCATTGGAGACGCTCGCTTCCGGCCGTCATCTGGCCATGCTTTCGGCCTTCAAATATCGCATCTTACCGGCAAGCTGGCCGATGCGAGCCAGGATTTCCTGCTCCTCTGCCGAAGACATGATGGCTGCTCAACACGCGCTCAGACCAAGGAGACCAAGGAGGGCACCAAGGAGGGGCAGACGACAGCAACGCGATAACTGGATTCGACAAAGCGGCAACCGAGAGAGCGTCGAGGATGATTGAGGCTGGAGAGAGACGGGCTGAAGAGATGATACGATAATCTACGTGGGTTGAAGGCGACACGATATGAATCAATCGGGTTGTCGGGACTTTTGAGCAGGAAGAATTGAGGCGGTGCCAACTTGGTTGTGGTCAATTGTCAGCGGAGAAAGCAGAAAGCGCGGCGGGCTCAAGTGGCGAATCCGGCCGCGACTTTGGTGCAGCGGCTGGGGCTAGCTTTACGTAATCCGTCCCAGACGCAGTCTAATAATCCATTGCAGCCTACCGGATGCGGCTAAATGGAGCGCATTTCGTCGCATTGGTGCATTGCATTCCATCAAAGCGCCGCCGCCGCCGCCAGGTCCTGCCTGCGACAAAAAGCAGAAGCCAAAAAAACAAACACAACACAACACCACCAACCAACACACTCTTCCTGCGCTGAACCGACGCGCCACCACACCCGCCGACAGACTACTGACTAGCCAATACCGACGGGCTGACTGACCAATCGACCGACCGACCAACCGCCGCTGGGGCGCGCGCTGCCAGCCCCCAGGCTCGACAACATGTCCGACATCAAGATCAAGCCCGAGCGCGGCGACGACGATGAGGAGCCCTTCATCGAGGGCGACGAGGCTGCCGAGGACGACCCGCTCGAGGAGGGCGGCGACCTCGAGTTCTACGACAAGGCGGCTGACGACCCAAAATATGACAACATGTACCTGGCACGCGTGCCCAACTATGTCTGGGAGGCCTGGGACAAGCTCCCCGACGACGCCGAGATCGAGGTCGGCCGCATCCGCCAGTGGTACGAGGTCGACCCCAAGACGAACCAGCCCACGCCGCGCCTGCGCATGCTGCTGCACAGCAACCTGGCCCAGCACCAGCTGGTGCCCAAGGAGTACGACCTCAAGGTCACCGAGATGCGCGTCAACAACACCTTCATCTTTTCGGAGCAGGACCTGCCGCACTACAAGGAGAAAAACCGCGCCCGCGCCGAGGCCGCCGCCGCCGGCGTGCCCGCCAAGCTGCTCCGCCAGCCCAGGCCCGACAAGCCCGCCGAGAGGCCAAAGTTCCCCGGCGGCCGTCGTAGGGGACCGCGCCGGCCCACCTTCAAAAAGTCCATCCCCAAAAAGACAAAGATTGCCGGCCGCGTCCGCCACGAGCTCAACTGCATCCCCGTCGACAACCCCGAGACGGACCACATGCTTGCCCTGAGGGCCATCGAGGCCTCCAAGCCCACCGCCACCGTCACCTTTATCGACGAGACCAACATCTCGCTCAACTCGCTCGAGCGCGGCGGTCTCGCCGCCCAGAACAGGCTGCAGAACTTTATCGTAAGTTGTGCTCGCGCTCACCTGGAGTTTGCTTTGTGCCAGATTCTGACAGCTTCTTGTTTGTCCCGCCCAGCCCGCCGCCGCACAGGCTCCTGCGCCGACCAAGGCAAAGAGGGTGGATATGAAGACGACTCGTATGGCCGAAAACGAGCTGCTGGATCAGATCTTCATATGCTTCGCCAAGCACACGTACTGGCCCATGAAGACGCTCCGCCACACCCTAAGGCAGCCCGAGGCATATCTGAGGCAAACGCTCGAGAAGGTCGCGGAGCTGCACAGGACGGGCAGGTTTGCCAACACTTGGTCACTGACAAAGGACGTCGCCCGCTCCAAAAACATCTCGGCCCAGAACGGGGACGATGTCATGGCGCCCGTGGTGGAGGACGCCGACGCCGACGACGACGACGAGGAAGGCGACGTCAAGATGGAAGACGTGCTCTGATTCCATGTCCGTACGGATCTTCTCCTTGGTGCTCTTGTGCGGTTCCACATCGTTATGCGGCTATACAATCATGGCGTTTTGTTGGTCTGGGAGGCCATCCGTGCACCAAATCCTGCTTATTTCTGTTTCACTCCTACCAGCTCCCTCGGGAGTTTTCCATAAAACATAGACGATGGTGGCACAGCATTTCACGTCCGTGTGTTTGCATGCAGTGGAATGCGAGACCTTCGTCCATGTGGGGCTCTGCTGGCGAGCACGATTGACGACTTGGAGAAGGAAAGAAAAGTGATAGCTTGTTTGGCCAAACTGCCGAGCGTCCTGACATGGCTGACGTATGCCGTGTTTTGGTGAGTGAGCCTTGGACTCGCCGTCACGTCGCCCCCATACGATATCAAAAGCCTGGAATTGTTCTCCTTTACTTGAATCCCTGCCTGCTCCCTACTTCGATACCCAGATAGCAGCCTGAAGCTACAGCATAACACGCCAGCTGGGCCAACCAGGCAATTTTGACTTTTTGACGCCTTTTCGACCCCACCGCAATGGACATCGTGCTCGACTTTGACGGCACCATCACGGCCAAGGACACCATCGCCTGCCTGGGCGCCTTTGCCGTCTCCCGCCAGCAACAGAGCCAACAGAGCCAACAACAACAGCACCACTACGACGACCATGGCGGGCATCCCACCACCACCACCACCACGGAGCACCACCAAGACAGCACCAGCACCAGCACCAGCACCAGCCGCCAGGCCACCTGGGACTGGATCGTGTCGTCGTACGCGGCGGACCACGCGCGCCACGCGGCCGCCTTCGAGCCCGCCGAGGCGGACCGCCGCACCGTGGCCGCCGAGCGCGCCTTCCTGGCCAGCCTGCGCGCC